AGAAGTGAATAGAGAAAGTTGAAAAGGTAAAGACTGAACAAAAACACCAAATTTAAAGTGGGAAGATATAAAGTAAAAACCTTAGTGAATAAAAAAGGAGAGACAAGCTATCACTTGGGAATTATGGACAAGAGAGAGTAAAGAAGAAAGAGATACAACAAGTACCTTTTCAGCGGTAACAAATGTACAACTGAATAAATGTAATTTCACCTAATAATCCAAGATTTATACACGAGAATGGACCAAGACAAGGTCATGAAATATTTTACCACTCCAAAAACCATGTAAAAGAGAGAAAAAGTTATACATACACATACATTGTATGTATTTTGGTGTTTCTTGGGAAACAAATAGTTTGAATCTCCATTACATACCGGCAAATGCATTGGTGAGTGAGCACTGGTCGGTTTGTCACTGTACCCTTTCATATATAGTCTTGCTGCACATCAAGGTTACTGTTCAGTCGTCACCACCCCACCCCACCTAGCCCACCCCAGCTAGCTATGGTTTTCTGTATAGTTCTTTCTTCGCTCTTTTTGTCCTACTAAAAATTAAAAAGGCCCCATTGGCTTTATAAATTCCAGTGTAATAACTATAAAGCAATTATATAATTCTTTTTTATTCTCTTTTAACCAGCATTTCAAGTAGATATACCGTGGTTTTAAGTACATATATGTGGTGTTTCAGATGAAAATTTAAATAAATAAATCTGTCAATTTCTTAGTATTTGATCAAACTTGGATCGTATTCTACTCGGACGAAAATTTGCACGTGTCGATTAATAAATGAATTAGCACGTTTGTTAACAACTTTTAGATGGCTAAACAGCATGGCTAACCACACTTCTCTAACATAAATGCTCGAAGACCATTGGTTCCACTCACAGAACAACATGGCTAACCACACCACTCTCTCTTTGCCCTATTGTTTGTATTGTACCTAGATCCTTCTTCTTTCACATCAGAGAGAGAGAGAGCTTGAATGGTTTGAACGATCCATCAATGGTGGGCACCACAGTGTTACATTTATAGATATCTAGCTGTTGTTGAGTTATGAAATTGTAGAGTAAGAGGCAGGATTTAGAAGGGCAATTGAATGGAGACAATATGAATGTCTGAGATCCTTTTCTGAATGTGAAACTAAAACAAACAAGGTTACTAAAACTTAGGCTTTATTTAAGAATGTTATTAAGATTTCATACCTGCCCAGTTTGGTATCGACTAAAATCTAGATTTTAATTTAAATCAAAGTCAACAATTCATTTCAATAACACATTTATGGATCTCACATATTTCATCAACTTTTATCAAAATCTACTAAAAATCGAGTTTTAATCCCCTAATTTTGTTTGCATTTATTACTTTTGCTATCTGAACATTGACTATAGCTGGAAAACGGTTTCATTGGGATTGAGGCTAATTAAAAAAGTAGATCTACACATTCTCAATGCATTGTAAACATTGGGAGGGAGACATTAAATGCATATTTCACTGCATCTTAATCTAATCGAGACAAATTAAATAAAATTGACAAGTACCTAGATTTATTTAAAATTATAAAAATCAACTTTTCTTTATATTATTAAGGTTCATTTCGTGAGATTTTTGTAAAGTCAAAAGTTGTTTAATATTAAGAAGTTATTTTTGAACATGTTTGAATAATTTTTTGAAAGTAATTCTGTAAGTCTGAAAAGTGAATCAAATATAACTTTCTCGCGAAACTCTTACAAGAAGTAAAAGCATAAACATCCTAAATGGGCCATATACTTAGTGTGTCAAATATCTTGAGTGTATGTATGCTTTTTCGTGCAAGAGAGAATCAATGTAAAGGAATTTAGTCCATCTTCGATTTGGCTAAAAATTAAATTTTTCATAATTTTTTTATAAAATTTGATGAAATGTGAGATTAAAAAGTAAATAAAATATGTGAATCCCATAAAATATATGATTGAAAATAAGTAGAAAAAATAAATTTTAAAGTTGGTGCCAAACAGGGACACAACAGAAAAAAGAGAAAAATAATCGGGAATGTTTTATCTCACATGAAATATCAAGAACATGTTTAGTACACGAAAAAAATCCCTTTGAACGAAAACATATGTATAATGTTCACTTCTTTTCTTTTATATAAAATATGTTCCAAGTGATGATTATATACTTTCATGACTTAGTAATAATAATAATAATAATAATAATAATAATAATAAAATTTTTATAAGTTATACATGTAAGTCTTGTCTAATACAAACATGCCTTTGACAGTCCCAAGATTACATGAGGGTGTGGAGTATAATATTTTCTTAGAATTGTTTAAGAGAAATATGTTTGTTGTCCGAGTAATTTGACCTTTGTTTGTCCAAGACTTGTCCTCTCAATTACAAACATTTCTGCTCAATTGTCTCTGATTCCTAGACTCGCATTGCTATAATTGAAGATTTTCTTCTTATTAAAATATTTATTTTTTTAACTTCAGCATTAATTTCATAATGGTTTTCTTTTGTGAGATAATAATGTAAGCCCTTGACAATCATTATAAAGAGATTTTTGGAAAAAAATGAATAAATTTTGGAACGATAATTTTTTAAAGAATGTGTGATAAAAAATGTCCTTATTTCGCAATCATTATTTGGGTAAAGTAAAGTTTTGAAGAATGAATTTTTGAGAATGTGTGGTTAAAATGTAGTGTAAGCTGTAAAGTTTTGAGTTTACATGTAGAATATTTTATTATGTAAATATATGATTGAAATGAGTATGAATAAAAAAGAGTTTTGACATAATGATTGTCAAACAAAGGCTAAATTTTTATTTTATTTTTTAGATTTACGTATAGAATATTTTATTATGAGAACGTGTGATTGAAAATGAATTTTTTTTAAAAAAATTAATTTATAAAAATGATTGTCAAACGTGGAACTATATATGTTATACTTCTTTTTCTTTCTTTCTTTCTTTTTTCTTTGTTTTGAAGTGACCCTTAATATAAAGCTTGTGTTCATCATGATTTAAGAGAAAAAGTGCAAAAATTGATTAATGTAATTCTTTAGGGGTAAAGATAAAGCCCTTGTTTGGTGAAGATTAAAATGATGAAATGTAGTTGAAAAGTTGAGGGTCTTATAAAATGTGTAATTAAAATTAATTATTGACTTTAACTTGAAATTTTAATTGAATTTTAGTACAAACTAAACAGGGGCTAAAAACACAAAAAAGAAAAAAAAAGTAATTTACTTGAGACTCAAATATGTTCTATTCACAATTTGGATAAAACGAAGACTATTATAGTCTTTTGTATATAATCAATAGTATGATCTATATTTACATCTTCGTTCATTTTTTTATAAAAAGATCGAACTTTATATAATGAGAGGGACGAACTCCGTCCTAAAAATGGATGACTTACAATTTTATGGACCAATCTAAAACTTTTTAAAATATTTTTGAACATAAATTCATATTTCAAAAGTTACAACTATGAAAATTTCTCTTCTTTTCTTGCTTTTCTATTCTTCATTTTGAATTTTCAACATCAACAGTTGATTACTAATTTGGTAAAACTCTAGAAGATTTTGAAACTTGTTTGTCAAAAAGGATTGGAAAAAGAATTAAATGCACAATTAAGTACAGTGATCTCTTTTTTATTGACAATTGAAAGGTTATCTTCACAATTGCATCATCTTCTTTTTCAACTTTTATTGTTGAATTTTCAAGCACCTTCGAGCAGTAGGGTTGAATGATAACGGTAATTCTCGAGTTCCCGTACCTACTACACGCAAACACGGTGTGACATTTTGCCCGTTTCTCTCCGTATAGATTTAATTGAAAACGACGAGTGACATAATTTCGATTTTGATGGTCCTTTATGAGAACAAGTCAATAATATTTTTTCACTAATCTTTTTATGAACCATTTTTACGAATTTGAGTTTTTCTATTTTTTTTTTTTTTT